AATTATCTTGTTGTCTTACTTGAAAGAGAAAAAGAGAGTTTCAGTCTGTTTATTTATAGGCTGTTCACACTGTAGTATCTGAATGCCTTGCATGTATGTGATGCCAAATATGCTGGCGTAGACCCAGGCATCAGAACAGGTGGTGCCATTGAAGGTGGTGAGTGATAGGGTCTTAAATTGTAGCGTAGCTTCTGTTTTATGTAAGATGGGTCACACTTTTTTCTAGGAAGTGAAAAAGAAACAAAGAGAACCTTTAGTCAGAAAGTAATAGGAAAAAGAGTAGACAGCAAAGGCTTGGGGAAGAGATAAAATTCATATAGGCCTGAAGTGAAGACAATTGAGAGAGGAACTTGAGGGATTTCCTCACAGATCTTCTGGTTTCTTTGGGGACTTCAGACGCTTTGGGTTTTTGGAATGAAATGACAGGATGTCACTTCATCAGTCATGTAATACAGTGTGTAACCCAGCCTACAGTAAGAAATAAACACGTAGTAGATGTGACTCAGGAATTCATGCAGCAGATTATAAGGTACTTTCTTTTATTATCTTTTATAGTTTAGGAAGGCCAGTGTAACAAACTGTTCTTTTTGTGGTTGTGTTTTGTTTTGGGGCTCTTTTTAGCTATTTTCTGTGAAAATTCTAATGTTACAGCATGTATTAAATTCTTTATAACTTACAGCAAAATAATTTTTCCCATAATTAGTGAGTTATGGAAGTGAAGCACTCAAGAAATATTTCTGCATGCACATGAAATATTTGGCACCTTATATTTTTCCAAGAAGTAACGTCATGATACATTTAGTATTAGACTAATTAGTCTATTAGCAATAGAACTAGATCTCTTTAGTACTGAACTGTATAACAAGACATGAAATACTCTGATATACATCAGCTCAATTAAAAGTTACATGGAATGGAAGAAATTGTGACATGACCCTTGAAGGAATACTAAAATATCTTATTAAGGAAAGCTTATACTGAGGTTTAGTTTCAAAGCTGGCAGCAATAATAACTATAGAATCATATAATCTTTTATTTTGGAAGAAACCACTGGAGGTCACCGCTTGCCCAAAGTGTGGTCAATTAGAGCAGGTTTTTCAGAGCCTTGCCCAGTCAAGTTTTGAATATCTTCGGGGCTGGACTTTTCACAGCCTCTCTAGGCCAGTGTTTGACTACTCTCTGTTCTTCAACTCCAGAGTCCCCTATTTGCACACAATTTCTTTTGGAGATGTGGGCGCTCTAGATTTGTGCGTACCTGTGCTGTTCCCTGCAATGCCCTAACGCATGTGCCAGTGCAAGTTTGCATTCATGCAGCAAATGTGTGGGTTCTCATCCCTTGTTGCACCCTGTACTGACCACCAGCTAGCTGGTGTGCAGGACCTTGCATCCTCCAGGAGGGATTCTGCGCTGTCTGGCCTGGACAGATATCGTGATGCAGTCAGTGGGGTGACTTCTGGCAGCGTCAAACCAGGTTTTGACTGCTGCTGCTTCCTCTCCAAGGCCTCTCCCACTGGTACAGCTTTTCATATTTTTTTTTATACTTCTTTTCAAAAGGACTCCTTTATTTGAAACATTTTTTTGTCATTCTCTAGTTATTGTTTAATCTAACTGATGATCCTCTTGCTTTTCAACATTACCAGTTTTGGGCAAATATCCTGTCAAACAATTTTGCATTTTTGATTTACACACACACACACAAATTCCTGTTGTCACATTTGTTATTATCCAGACCCTTTTGCCAAGGGTGGGCCTTGCAAGCACCTCCCACTATGTCCCCTGCATCACTAAGCAATGGCTTTACAGTTTTCTTAGTCTTTCTTTCGTTCCCAATGTCCTTATAGTAGCCTTTCTTTTTGTCCTTATCAGCCTTTGCTAGTTCTGACTTCAGCTGAGCTTTGGCTTTCCTAACTCCTCCTTGTAGGCAAAGGCAACATCTCGGTATATCTTCTAGGTGATCTGTCCCTGCTTCCTTTTTTGGGTTTGGGCTCAGTCAGGAGTTCTGTGCTTATCCTAGGTGAGAAGTGTGGCAGATGGCTGGAAGGGATGCCACACTTGCCTTCCTCCACAGTGATTTTGGCACAATTATGCTACAGGAAGACTGAGATGAAGTGCTTTTTGCTCATTTAAAGCATCAGCATCTAATTTTTTAAAATTCACTACTCTGTATACATTAGTACTTATTGTCAGTCTGAACATAGCTATACTAAAAATAGCTATATAACCTATTACATTCAGTTCCCCAAATCAGTCTGCCAGCTAAGAGAATCTCACTGAATTAACAAACAAAAGTTAGTTGTCTATTAGAAGTGGTATGTTGTTTAAAGGATGTCCACAAATGCAGTTCAAGTCTGTGGTATGTGCACTTATTCTGCAGTTTTTACTTGTGTAGTAAATTCATTAAGAAATACAACCCTTAACATACAAATTAAAAGAATTTCATTTCATGCTTTGTAACCTTTTTTAGTAGATAGGTTTGAGTTCTGTTGCTTACATGAACTATTGTAATAACATAATTTCTTGATTTTTCTTTTTTTGTTTTTTTTGGCTAATGTATAACCTTTTGAAAACATTCTGTAGTAGGGGACTATTATTTTATGTGTTGATGTAACTTCTACTTTAGGCCCTATCTGCTTTTCTTATTTGAAGTCAGACAATACAAATTACTGAAAAAAAGATGCAAATGTTTTGAGACATTTCTTCTGAATGTGGGCAGCGACCTGTAGCTCTGAGCTTTAACCTCTGCCACAGAGATCTCAGAGCTGCTTTCTGTGTGTATATATCTAAATTAATCCGAGTACAAATCATAATTTTGCTTGCTTCTTTTTAAGACTAAAAAGACAGACTTTTACCAAATGGCTTAACAGTGGCAATACTTGTCCCAGGCCTTATCTCAGTCTCCCTTCATCCTGAGTTTGAACTCTGCTGTCCTTCCAAGACCCATGCTAACATCTGATAATAGTGAGGCTGGAATCTTGTATTTCTTCCTAAAAGTGTGCTGCTACCTAACACCAGAATTAAAGCCAAAACTAACAGCAACAACAAAAAAAATCATGATGTGGGGGTGTAACAAATAAATAGAACCATGTGCTTCAGACAGATGGTAAAAACACTCCCTGGCAGGCAAGTTGCAGGCAAGTTCCTCTATGTTGGTCCAAACGCCTGTATTTTATCCAAACACTCTGCACTGTAAAATGAATGAGCAGCCTGTGGAGGAGTGGATGGAATCCAGGGGGGTACTTATGTCCACTCTTCCCCATCAGGAGTGTGTTCACTACTGGATGACAGACCTGCTTCTTCTCTGGCCCCTTCAGATACTGTGGTTTTATTCCTCTACTACTCATCCGCAAACACTGCAAGCTCTCCTTTAAGGTTTTTACGCAATGGAGTTGTTGCACACCTGCAATATTGAGTATGTTTAGTTTTGGTCTCAGAATAGCAACTGGAAATGAGTAAGATTATTGCATAATTGTTGTATCTGTCCTATGCAGGAGCTTTCAAGCGGACATCTAGTTTCAAGTCTTTATTGTCTTTTCTCTCATCAGCAAATATTCTATTTCCCTCATCTAAGCACATAAAGAATAGTAAAATACCTGCAGAATAAAAGACTTCCCGCCTGCAAGGAAAAGAGAGGACTAGCAGCATAAAGTTATGGGGGGTGGGGGAAAGAAGTGTAGAAGCTATAATACTTAAAAAAAAAAAAAAAAAAAAAAAACCAAGCTGTGATGCTACTTGAAATCTTTGAGCGCCAGAAAGTACCCCAATATATTTTGGCTTTGTGGTTGCTGTATAAAAATAATAAGCAAAAACTGTGCTTGCACAAAAATTCCCCTGTCACATTCCTCACCACCACCTTGATTAAACTGTAAGGAATTCTTGAATGTTTGCTAGTTAGACCCAATATGAAAGATAGTTCTTATACCAGTTCAGTTTCAAAAGGATAGGCAATAGTAGTTCCCTTCTAGACCTCTTCTATTTGCATGAAAATTTTGTTCTAAATAATGTGTTTTCCCAAGCCCTATGTGGGACACTTGTTTATAGCAAATAGCTGGACTACCACCAAATTCTGACCTGGCATTTGGAAGGACCTGGATGTCTGGAAGTAGCATTTCTTTAGGATATTTGAAAATACTAATTTAGATTATTTTTTTGAGTAATGTTTTGCTGTCTGTGGCTGTATGTACTATGTTTTGGTTTGGTGGTGATTTTTATATTCTTGCGATTGATAACAGAGGTTTCTGGAAGAAGACTAAGAGAGTACTTTATGTATTATTCTGGGTATATGATGCTAATATATTTCTCTCTTCATTTCCCAAATTAGGAATCTTGTTAGGCAAAATAATGTTTGTTTGTCTAGGAATGTAATGTCTTTACTTCTACTATAGTAGAACTTCCACTTTAGTAGAAGACTGCAGTTCTCTTTCAGTTCCAGCTGAATGAGAACAGCTGCATTAAAATGTAAATAAGCCCCATCTACCTGCCTGGATGCTTTGAAAAGTTTGTCTACTGAATCTATCTTTTCTGTTTTGGGGAGAGCTCTAATGATCATGTAAGTTTAATTCTTGAACCTGTTGTTGCCCATAGATTTTTTTTCATGTCCGTAAAATTTAATGGATGCTTATTTTTAGGAGTTGTGAAAAGTGACAAGGTACATAGGTATTGTCATTGAGCTAGGAGCAGTTGACATCTGTGCATAACTTTGAAGCTGTAGGTAAACTGGTGTGTTCTGTTCAGTAGAAAAATGCTGTGTGTGCACCTTGTAGGATGCAGTGGTGTTCTATAAAGCTGCCACAAGATTTTGTGATAAAGTTTTCCAAGAAATACAAATACTGGATAAATTTGTGCCAATGGCATGTAGGTTTCTTGAGTATTTTATAGCTAAAGAATTGGAAAATTTACTACATTTTGGGGTGTGGGTTGTTTGTTTGTTTGGTTTTTATTCCAGATCTGAAAACTGAGCTTTTTCCTGTCTGTTTTTGCAAATACAGAACCAGAGAATAAAAATGGGAACTCCTGGATCAGGACGGAAGAGAACTCCAGTGAAAGACAGGTTTTCTGCAGAAGATGAAACTCTGAGTAACATTGCCAGAGAGGTTTGTTAATTTCAAATTGTCTTAAATTCAGAAATGGGGATGAAAGCAATCTCACTATCCAGAAAAAGTTAATTTTTTTAAGCTGTGCATTAAAAAGTGTAATTAGTCAAAAATACGATGATTAATACAAACTAAGAGTATTTTTGATCAAAAAATCACATTTACTGAAATGGTGTCACAATGGTATATTAATTGTATGATTAGCGTAACTTCACAGGATCACACTTAAGCTTAGCAGATATTTCTACAGATAGTTGTACGCTTAGCTAAAGGTAAATGAGAAATCCTGTTGCTATCTCAGGTCTAAAATGAAAAAAAATTCCACGTTTATCCCGCTGCAGTGTGTAGTATTCTTAAGATGGTAAGTATAGTGTATTAGTGTTGAATGAGTAATAGTCATTATTAAAAGGTATTTGTATTGTATTCTATTTCAAATGTGAAAAGGCACATTTCTGTCAAAATAAGCTTATTATCTACACTATACCAGGACTTTCTTGGCAGAGTCACCACCTGAAAAATAGAGAGCTGGAGGTAGCCAGCCAAAGATGCAGTTAACAAGAAGTTGATACAAAGGGGAATTTTGTATACAAAGGGGAATTCTGTCCCACCGGATATAGGAAGGAGGCAGCTGGAATTTAGTCTTACATATGTCTATTTGGACTTGAGTTTTTCTGTGAGGAAACGCTGTGACTTGTAAACAAAAGCCTTAGTACTGTGTGTATACAAGTGGATACAGAAGCTTTGAGCTACACTGTCGACAAAGCTGCTCACCCTAGTTGACACAAATGAGTGCAAAATGCAGATTCTAATTGGCCTTATAATGTAAACTGTTGTCTGTATGTGTGTGTATAGTATATATACATATATGTGTATGTAAGACAACATAAGTAGGTGATAGGTCTTTGAAAACACAGCTTCCTTACGAATTTTCAAATGTAGCCATCATAGACTGTAGATAAAGGAAACGCTCTGTCAGAAAAAAAAAACATTTTCATTTAGTTGGTAATTTTCCAGAAAGCTATGTTCACACCAAATCTAATGGAAGTTCTCACCCTACCAGATACGTTCTGTGTGGGCCTTTGGGTCATGTACAGTCTCACTCATCAAGTTCCATCTCCCATTTTTGGGAAAGCAGTTAATGAAGGAGAAGGAATCTGGCTTTAAACTTCTTTGAAGTACTCTCTGCATGGTTCCAGTACAGTAACATCCGCTTGCAACTTAGCCTAGGAAAAAAGGTCTCAATAGCAAGGTGTAGTAAGTATTATCTTACTTAAAATTACTGTGGAGCTTTGTTCTCTTACATCGCTAACCCCCTCAATTAAAATTTGAGCATGAGTGTAAATTAAACAAAAATGAAGGGTTTTTTCCCCCTATTAGCATTATGCTAAATTGAACTAATACTAGGTCTGAGCTAGAGGTCTGTGTAGGACAAGCTGGCCCTTACATCCCATGTCAGACAGCAGCTATTGTCATTGAATTGGTAGCTGTAATTCATAGTATTAGCCAACTTATTCTAAAGAAAACTTCTACTTTAAAGGAGCAGAATGTATTTCTTAGGATATGACAGCAGGCGCCAGTTAACAAAACTAAGTTCTGTCTTTAAATAATACCTGATTTTACTGTGCCATACATATGCCTTATCATTTGAGGCTGGGGGAACACTTTTCAGTTACTATGCTGACATACGGTATGCCAGTTCTCAGTGCATGAATATATAGGGTAGATGTACTATACCATTCTGAGGCTATCTCAGTAACACGGCTTGCTTATCTTTTTATTGTCAGGGAGTGTTTTGTTCCTCAACTTCCTCTTCTGAAATTACCTTTTTAGCAGATGTTACTTACAACAGTTGAATTTAGTCCTGTAATCCAGAAGTCAGATGTCTTGTGAGTAAAACGTTCCTAAAAGGTGTTCCAGGTATCAAGAGATGGTAAACAGAATATGCTGAAATAAAAGGCTGGCACTCAGGATGATCTGTATGGAAAAACTGCATAGAAGTGCTCTGGGATTCAGACCAGTCACAAGATGTCGCTAGGAATTATCAGAGTTTGTAACACTAGCAAATACTTCTAGTGTAGTGTATGAAGGCTTGGGGCTTTTTTCCTCCAGGAGTTCAGATTGCAGAAAGCACTGATCTTTTTCTTTCTCAGCACTCTAATTTGACAAAATTGGGATTTCCTTGTTCTGTAGGATGTGTCAAAAAAAAAAATGTGGTATCTTCCTTTTGGTACCAAAAAACTTTCTAGGAAATTTTGTGTAAAGACTTCTTTGGTGCTGATCCAATAAATTCATTTCGATATAGTCATTTTTCTGCACTGGTTGAATCTGAGGTGTCATCTTATATGAAAATATTTAATGGAAGACAAGGGCAATATCATGGGATCTGAGGGGCTTGGTCAAACTACTTTCTCCTTGTGAGATTTCTTTAACTTCCTCTGCATCAGACAACTTTTCATCTGATGGTTGTGTCTCTTCCCCTTCACTTCTTGTAGCACTACCACTGTTCTGTAGAGTTCTTTCATATCTTTTCCTTGCTCTGGGAGTTTGCATTGAGACAACCTCTTCTGCAATGCCTCTGCACTGAACAAGGCACAAGTATGCTAAAACATCAACATTGGAGTGAATTATTGCCTCATTCCAAGAACTTCCGAGTTACCAGACCTCTTTCTTTGGGACCTACTCTGTATTCTGTTGTGTTATCCTTCCTGGCATTGAATTCCCTGTGCTCATTGAAACTGAGGAAGAGGAAAGGTGATGTACGTATCCAGGGACAGGGATCTATGCATCCTTTTCTGGAAGCGATGCGCTCTCCATGTTATTCAGTGTCTTAAGTGAGGTTGGTTGCAGTTGATCAGTTTGGAAGTCTTACCTTGGTACAAAAGGGAGGATTACCAATTTATCATGTTTGTTTCAAAAGCTGTAGAAACAGGTGGTAGGTTATATTGTCTGGGTGTTTCCTGCAAGGAGAAAAGGCACTCTGAGTGTAAATGCATGCAGCTATATTAAAGTGGCGTATTGGCAAGTGTCTTCAAAAATGCCTATTTCCTGAAAATATGAAGAGTTCCTTTGTACCACCTTCTGGTTCTTTCTCTAGCTGTTGTAATGGATTCTGAAGTGTTAGCTTTCTCACATGGACAAAGAATATAATCCAGCTGGTGTGGAAGACAGTTTCTTCTGTCCCCTGGAAAGTTCTGCCTTTCCAAATAAGAGACAGGGGTTGTCTAGTGTGACTTCAGGCTCCTGTCCAGATTAGGTTCTTATGTGGGAATCCTTTTTGTTTAACAAATAACTAAATAAATAAAAATTGAGGTTCATATTCTCAAGGTTATATTCACAGTCTACACTGGGTATGGCTGATAGGATCTCAAGATCTGTTTTGCCTGTGGTTTTGTTGTGGAGAGTCTCTGCTTATAAAGCTGTTTTGTGGACAGAGTATCTTCAGCTGACCTCTGCATCACTGCTTCACTTGTCTTTGTAATTTACAGACAAGTTGCTGTGTTCATTTTAAACATACATCAGTAACCTGTTGTCACCAGGCATCTCTTATGATTACTTGAGACCTCTTTCTCCAAGACCAGCCTTACATGCAAGAGTAGAGGTTTCAGTCACTTCTGCGTTCTTATATTGACTTCAGTTCAAGCTCAGATACAATTAACGTCATGCCAGAAAGTGAGAAGAGTCTGACTCTTCTCGTCTCACCAGCCTCAACCCGATAAGCAGCAGTTTGAAGGGACAATCGGGATTTACCTTTTATATCCTTTCTTTCCATGCTTGCTTCAGCAACCCTTCCATTCTTCAAGGCTGAGTAACTCTAGATGACGAAGAACTAGAGCTTGTGGACGATTGCATCACTATTTACTTCATTTCCTCCTTGTAGCATATTGTCTGTATTTTTTCAGGAACTGTTTTCATGACTCTGTTTTCATTGTACAGCAGGAGCCTCGAAACTCTTAAGAGATGTTTTCTCATGAGAGAGAATAAAGATTCATTTGGGTTTAAAATTCACTCTGTAGTTGCTCAAACTTTGGGTAGAGTGCAGTTCTTTTTACTTTGGTAAAAATGTAATGTAACTTAATTGCCAGGGCTGAAAAAGCCGAGTTCAATATTTTAAAATGTTTGAAGGCTATATCATGAATTTAAAAACAGTTAACAACATACTCTTTGTCATATTGAATCTATTCAAAGTTCAGTACATGTTTCTCTCTGCATACAGCTTCAGCTTTTCTTAAGAAAACAAACAAAACCCCAAAGGACCCCACCGTCATACAGAGATTGTCTTTGTAAATGCTAGATGACTTTTGAATTTCTTTTAGTAAGAGATCATGTAAATATTTTTAAATCAGCTATATCTACTTCAGTATTCAAAATTTTGTTTGCTGTTATTTTTAATAGTGGTTAAGGTTATTTTAGTAGGAGATATGGTATTCTAGAGGTTTTCTAAACTATACATGGACCTGTATAATAAATGGCAAAGGCATAAGAGAGATCAGAAATAAATAATCCTAAACCTTTAAGTCATGTAAATCTTAAGATTTTGTTTTTTATAGTCTCTGCTTTGTAGGCAAGTGGAGAAAGAGTAGGCACATCAGAAATAAGTGGAAGGAAGATGTTTCTGAGGAGGCATAAGAAATACATTTGGCATATGAGTGATGGTGTTCCCTTGGGTCCATGAGACAGTAAGGAGATGAGGAGGGTAAAGAGTGTGGAAATGAGAATACAGAAGAAATGAGCAACAGAAGAGAGAAACAATGCGTGCTCACTTAATAAGAAATGATGAAATAAACTTTATATTGCAGTGTGTGGTAGTGAATTAAGAAATATGGTGAACGTTTTAAAATGCTCACCCTGATGCTTTGCTGGAGCTGGCAGAATGTCCTGGTGTTCTGTCAAACGCCCTGTGGCAGAAACAGAGCTGGATACCTCAGCCAGGGTAGCAGGTGCCCTCACCACTCCCATCTGGTGGAAGAAGGAGAACCTTCCTTGCCTGGGCCTCTGGCATT